TATTTAACATATTGGATACTGTATTCTTTTGGCACCCCATTTATATATCAATAAGTATCGTATAAAATCCTGCAAGAGGTAGTTCCCATGATATTATGTATCTCAATCTTAGCATTTGTGTTTGTGCCAAAACACAATTTTGGGAATTTTTTATTTCATTTGCTTTCTTCTTTCATATAGGGCCTTTATAGAGGATTTGAACCCAATGAGATGCGCCTTGGTTTTTGTTCAAGAAGCAATGATGTTGTGGAGCCCATGATAAAGCCCCAGTGGTATGTCAATTGCAATGATTTGGCAAATCAGGCTCTTCATGCTGCCATGAATGAAGAAAACAAAAGGCTGGAGATTATTCCGAAACAATATTTGGCTGATTGGAAAAGGTGCTTATATTGTCTGTGTTTTCTTTCTGTAAATTCCTGCAATGTGCAATTTCAAAACTCATCCTGCAGAATGTGCCTCTGAGAAATGTGATATAGGACTTAAACTACAATGCAAATGCGGTCCCCCCCCCCTTCTGGAGATATCTTAGCTTCTCTAAATTTTTTAGAATAATGGTGTCACTTTCTTTGAAATGATTAGCGGGAAATGTAAGTTTGGCTATGCTCGACACAGCTCAAGAGTTAAGACTGAATATGAGGTAGATGAAGTATCGATAAATATAATCAATTAATTCATTGTCACTGCTTCCTTCTGTTAGAATATCTAGAAAATATAGCAGAAAATCATTATTATATCTAAGAATAATTTAGTGTGTCTTAGATAATCTCTTAAGAGTGATTTCCATATTTTGTGATTTGTTTTCTTATTTAATAAGGCTTTAAGGGTCTAGTATTAGTAAAAAGAGTAGTTAGTGAAAAGCATTTTGTAACACATCAAAAATCAATATTATTTTTCATTATTTGGAGTTGTTTTCCATCTTTTCCTAATTCTCTATCTGAATCTTATAATTTCAACACCTTCCAATTTTTATACTCCACCAAACATTGACGGATGTTTTTATTGTAAATGGATTCAATATGAAATTAATTTTACATTAAATCATATTTATGGCACAATGTGACAGGCTGACTGCTCTCTATTCAATTATCTCGTCATTTTCCTTTGTTGCTCTTATCATTGTATAATTTAACCTTGTCTTACTCAAGGTGTAAATTATTACAGATGGCTAGAAAACATACGTGATTGGTGCATTTCACGGCAGCTATGGTGGGGTCACCAGATACCTGCATGGTATGTCACTTTAGAGGATGACCTGTTACAGGAATTCGGTGCTTACAGTGATCATTGGGTAGTGGCAAGAAATGAAGATGAGGCCCAAAATGAGGCTAGTCAGAGGTATAATGGAAAGAAGTTTCATTTAAGCCGGGATCCTGATGTTCTTGATACATGGTTTTCTTCTGGTCTGTTCCCATTATCTGTGCTGGGATGGCCTGATGACACAGAAGACCTGAAAACATTTTATCCAACTTCTGTTCTGGAAACTGGCCATGATATCATCTTCTTCTGGGTTGCGCGTATGGTGATGTTAGGATTAAAGTTGGGTGGTGACGTGCCTTTCAGAAAGGTGAGGTTACTATCTCAAGTTGATCATTTTGGTTAAGCTTTATCCTTGTAATCTGCATAATGAATTATGCATGTGCTAGTCAGTGCTTTTTGTCACATAGGAACTGAGAAAGTTGGTCATGCATCCCATACGAATTAAGATTTTTCTTTTTCTTGATTTTTGATAAAAAGAAATTTCAGTGAGGCAGGAAGATTACAAAGAGATAAGAGGACGACAGATGCTCTGGAAAATAAAAAAATAAAAAAAGAGAGAAAAACAATGAAAACATCAATGAAGAATCAGATAAACAAGCCCTTGTGTGTGCCTTAGAAATTTTGATCAATGATCTTCTCATGGATGTATTTACAATCCTATGCAGATCTATTTGCATCCCATGATTCGTGATGCACGTGGGCGCAAGATGTCCAAGTCCTTAGGGAATGTTATTGATCCCATTGAAGTGATAAATGGGATATCACTGGAAGATCTGCACAAGAGGTTAGAGGCTGGTAACCTGGACCCCAAAGAACTAGCCACTGCCAGAGAGGGTCAGAAGAAGGATTTTCCAAATGGTATTGATGAATGTGGTGCTGATGCTCTCCGTTTTGCACTGGTCTCATACACAGCTCAGGTGCAATCTCTTACCAAGGTTTATATGGCCAATTTTCCACACCTATTTAGTCAACTTCTGTGATTTAATTGTGCTGTTTTCGTTCATTTCAGTCTGACAAAATTAACCTAGATATTCAAAGGGTGGTTGGGTATCGTCAATGGTGTAATAAGTTGTGGAATGCAGTAAGATTTGCTATGAGCAAGATTGGGGATGATTATATTCCTCCTGCAAATTTGATTCCAGATGTTCTCCCATTTAGCTGCCAATGGATAATCTGTGCGCTAAACAAAACCATATCCAAAACAGTGAAGTCTCTAGAATCATATGAATTTTCACAGGCAACCACTGCTGTGTATTCTTGGTGGCAGTATCAATTATGTGATGTATTTATTGAAGTGATTAAACCTTACTTTAGTGGTAATGATTCCAAGTTTTCTTCCGAGAAATGCTTTGCACAAGATACTTTGTGGTTTTGTCTGGACAATGGCCTGCGATTGCTTCATCCCTTTATGCCTTTTGTCACGGAAGAATTGTGGCAGCGCCTTCCTTCACCCAAGGAATGTAAGAGAGCTGAATCTATCATGATATGTGATTATCCATCGCCTATAGAGGTTAGTTTTGCTCTTCAGATTTTTTGTTTTCAGATCATCTCTTGTGGGTTCATTCGCTTTAATTTCTCTGCATGTTATTCTTCTGGACTATGGATGTAATAATAGATTTGCACCGGTTTTGCTCCCTTACTTTAGTCTGCTGAAGGTGTCAGCCATGACTTAGCTAATGATATATGTTTCCGTGATGTGTTTAAACTTATGCTTTGGCTATTAAATAATAGAATTTTATTTGTTTGTATTTTTAATTTTTTAAAATCTCAGAGCTGGAACAATGAAAAGGTGGAGAATGAGATGGACCTTATTGAGTCAACTGTTAAATCTCTCAGGTCACTGGCAAAAGAGAGACGTGACAGGTATGTGGAAACAACATTTTCTAGTGTACTGGTCTATGGTTTTCTGCTCTATTTGTGTAATATATCTGAAACCTCTGCATAGGGATACTACGACCTCTGCATAGTACTTTATTTTTCAGTTTCATTTAAATTTTAACCTGTCAACTAATTACATCACTATTCAATTCAATTTAACATGGTTTCAAAAAATAATGTTTATGTTGCTAGGCGACCGGCTTTTGTTCTCTGCCGAACTCAGGTGGTTACAGAGATTATTAGCAGCCACCAACTGGAGATTGTAACACTAGCGAATCTATCCTCTTTGACAGTAAGTTGCACCATTGCTTTATTGTGTTCTCTCTCAATTCTCATGCATTCCTTGTATTTCGTTTGGCTACTTTGTATTGATCATTTTACTCTTCTTAATTGCCTGCCATATTTTTAACTTCTAATGATAAGATTATGTGATTCACAGGTACTCACTGAAAATGACGCGGTTCCATCTGGATACGCTGATACTGTCGTAAATGAAAGCTTATCTGTTTATTTAGAGCTTCAAGGAACTAATTCGGCAGAAGCAGAGCTAGGGAAGGTCAAGAAGATAGATGAGCTGAAGAAGTATGTTTTATCTCATTCTTATGAAAAGTACATTTTGAACATGGCAAGTTGTAATGCATGTCATTTGATTGCAAAATATTTGAATACAGGCGATTTTATTTTATTAAAAACTTTATAGTCTTATTAGCACTTAACCCTTTTCCTGATTGGCATTCAAACACAACTTGAACAACTTAAAGAGTGGAGTTTCTTTCTGTTATACAGGCAAATAGAAAGATTAGAGAAGATCATAAATGCTCCAGGTTATGAAGAGAAGGTTTCACAGAATATTCGAGCTAAGAACCAGGAGAAGCTAGATTCCCTAAAGGAGCGTTTATTGCTTGAGGAAGCGGCTGGTCTGAGTCTTTAGTTTCAAAGTATGAATTTGATTGATCATTTTTTTCCTTACATGAATGAAGCAAGAAGAAAGGTCATGTGTAGTACTAATCTTTCACTTACAGTTGGATTTTTGTGGCCTAACTAGTAACTATACGCTATATATTCATTTTGCTAAATCAATGCAAGTTTTGGTAATCTTTTGGCTCGGGATTTGGGGGATTGTTTGTTCACCTGATTAAGACGAGACTTTTTTTCCTTTGTTTGAGGTTGACAATGCATGCCATCGTATTTGTCGGTTAGGAACCTTATCATTTCCATAGAAACTTTGAAATTGGTTTTATTCAAACAGAACCATCACTAGATAACATTGACAAGTTGCTGTCAGAACGAACCCCCTCCCACTCTCACAAATTTTCAGTTACCTTGTGAATCGATGTTTATTTAACTAATCTTCACGCATGCTTAATTCGCATCTTATTAAAAGCATAAAATGATTAATAAAATTATCCTTGGGCAGAATATTAATAATTTTAATGCAACTTTGCTTAGCTTGTTTTAAATGATTTTGTAAACTTGCGGTGCGATTGTAAATTTGGGATAAGAATGATATCTTTATTGAAAACTTTTAATGAGATCAAAGAAATGGAATATGCCTAGTATATACCCTATTTTCTTCCTCTTCAACGCTCAAGATAAATATTCAACCGAAAAAGATTGATAGTTTTTGTATTAAAAAACTTCATAAATCAAATTCTTGTTACCCGCATGGTGAATGTGTTATTTTATTAATATTAATATCAATTATAATATCATTGATTAAATTTGTACATGACAAATTGATGAAAATATTTGTATTAAATTTTAATAAGAACAGTTTGTGTTAAATTATTCAATCTTTTAATACTTAAGAGATAATTTTTTTTATCTAATATAATGAATTTAGTAATTATTTTTTCATTAAATAAATATATTTTCTTTTTTTACGAAATAAAAAGTAATTTTATATTCTCCGCACATCAATTCTCCACGTGAAAAATAAAAAATGAATGACCTTTTCATAGATACGCATCTAATTCGTTCTTTTTAATAAATTAAAAAAAAAGTTTGTATAGGCATCTAGTTTCGTTCCTTAACAAATTGCGAAATTAATATTGTCATGATTAAATTATTTAACAAAATATATCATACATCTTTTTTTTATACTTTATGACATTTTATCTTATACATTAAACATACATTTACATTCAAAATGTAAACAGTAATATTAATTACAATTTTTCATATTAAAATAAATAAAATAATGAAAAACAAAAAAAAAGGTCTTTTATCATCTTTGGTATCTAATCTTTTTGGTTGTTTCTAATAAATCTAATTTTTATTACACCTATTACGACCATCCGTACTAGTAAAAAAAATTATAAGTACGGACACTACTCTATGAGGAACAACCTCTTCATCCCTCAAAATAGTAGTGAAAGAAAAAACAATAATTGAGTTAAATTAAATTGAATAACTCCACAACGAAACTTCAGCATCGCCAAATTCCACGTCATCACACCCATACTCACTTCCTAAGCAATGCATTGGGGACATGAGCACCATGTTTCTCAGAAACTCTGGCACCGCCCCTTCTTCTTCTTCATGCTCCGTCGCCGCCGCATCCGCCGCTACCGTCGCAGGCGACTCACTATCTTTCCTCCCCTCATCGGTCTCCGATTCCATCCCAGGCCGGAACGCCTCCGCCGCTTCTGCCGCTGCCTTCTGTATGTCCCTGGCATCCGCCGTCGCCGGTACCGGCAACCGCCACGGGGAGTCCTCGAAGTTGAGGCAAGCGGACCTTCCCCTAAGCGCTATAGCCGCCACGTCGTGCGCACGCGCCGCCATCTCCGCAGTGGGAAAGGTCCCGAGCCAAATCCTCGTCTTCTTATTGGGTTCACGCACCTCGCACACCCACTTGCCGGAGTCCCTTTTTCTCACCCCACGGTACACCGGGTGACGCGTCTCCCTGAACTTCTTCCTCCCCGCGCGTTTCTTGGGGTGACTCGCCGCCAGAAACACCTCCTCGTCCGACAGCGCCGCCATCGCCGGCCGAGAAACTACCGACACCGGCGACGTCGGATGGGGATCGGAAAAACGATTGATGGAAAACATGTTATTGGGTGGAAAGTTTCGTTTTTGTTTGTGTAAATGGGACAGTATGTGCAAAAGGGTTAGTTAGTACTTTGTAGTTACTAGTAACTAACGTTGTTCTTCTTCCTGTTGTTTTATTTTGTGTTTGTGCCTTGTGTTGTAGGGAGGGAAAGTGAGAATTGAACGATGGGTATATATAGTTTGAGGGGTGGGGAGTGAGGTTGTGTTTCAAGGAAAGTGTCAACACTGAGTGTACAGCTAAGTTTTTGTTATATCCTTAGCCATTTGCATTCGAGGACGTGGTAGTTTCTTCCCACGGAATGGACTATGGTTAAGGAATAGGTGGGGCATGGGTTGGGGCTAGCCTAGCAAGTTGAAATTGTCGGGAACTGCGTTTCTGACACGTGTATTTTTGTTTCTTAATATGGCTCTTTCTAGATTTTGAAAATGGATAAGGGAGGTTTGACTGAAAGGGAAAGGGGAAGGTGAAGGGAAGGAGTGTGGTGTGTGGAGGACAGAGTGAGAAGTGAATCTGTGTTTGTCATAGTCAAAGGGTTGGGCTTAGATTCTTTGGATTCTAGAGGTTTTGTTTTGGGCCTTTTTTGTTCAACTGTGACGTAAAGAAGGAGAGTATTGTGTAGTAAGATACAACTCACATAATTTCATTGAAAATATTACACATTACAGTATTTTATTGCATTAGATTGTTTTCACGAGCTGGATTTGCGTAGGGAGATGATGATTTTCAGATCCATGGACAGCTAATGCTTGCTGCTCAAACTTCACAAGCACGTGTTCAAAAAATGAATTAAGTTCTAATTTCTTTATTGGTATTTCGAGTACTGCATGCATATACCTTGCCAAGTGGCCTTTTCATTCTTTTTTTATTGATCTTTGTGGTTACTAGTTCTTTTTTTTTATAAATATTTCTTCCAACTTTCCACTGAAAGAGTATAAATTTAAATGTTACAATTGTTTAAAAATAAAAAAAAAATAAAGAAATAGGATGTGTATTTGATTTTTTTTATTAATATTTTTGTGTTTGACTAAAATTATTCATGCTATCATTTTACATCTATTTTACGAAAACACATTATATAATAAACAAAGCGAGTTGATTAGAGAAGAAAAAAACATTCTACGTTCGATTTCGAAGTCCTTTTTTTTTTTTGGGTCAACATTCGATTTCGAAGTCTACGTGCATAAATAAAGAACACCGTTAAGAATGTGTTCAGCTATGGCCGCTGATCTTGCCATAAGTGATTAGCCTCAGTGAAAATAAAATAAAATAATATATATATATATATATATATATATATATATTATAAAAAGATAAGATAAGATAAGAAAAAATATATGTTGTTTTATTTTAACTGACTAACAAACTCAATTAATATTTAATGACACTTTTTTTCTCATTTTATTTTTGAAGTTCAAAGAACCTTATTTCACAATGATAAGGAACATTATATTTTCAAGGAAAATGTAAACATTAATTCTTAGTGTTGGTTTTAAGCAACTAAAAATAATAATTTTTTTTTAAATATATTTTTTGTATGATATTTTTTAAATAAGTTCTTGCTATTTTTAAATGCTACTAATATTTACAAAATTTAATTTCATTTAAATTTTAGGTTTAAACTTGGGTTGATTTTCTAAGAATGGCCCAAAACTCAAGCCCAAAGAGTGGGAAAATGGAAGGTCAGTTAATTAGAACGAGGCAAGCTCAAAAAACTACCGTGTGTCTAATTACATGCTAAAAAAATTATGCATACTAAATTTATTAAAAGTAATAAAATATAATTTTTTTAATAATTTATTTGTTTTTTATTTTTTTAGCATGTGTCCTTAAAATCGAAAGTGATTAGGGTGCAAATAAAAGGAAACAGGGTGATGGCGGTGGAGACTGACAAAACAAAGAAAAATTAGCTGAGTTTGTTTGACTTGTGCTTCTTTTTGGGGTGACATCCCACACTTCCTAAACACGGTTGACAGTTAATAACGGTCCTTTCATTTTATTTTATTTTTTAATAATAGTAATATTTTTTATTCTATTTGAATAAATCCCTATGGATAAGTATTTTAAAAATCTGATCTATTAAATTCAACCAATCAAATAATGATTGATGTGTTGCAATAACTGAAATAACCTGGAAAAAAGTGAACTGTTAAATATTCATCAACTGCATGTTATTTGTAATTAAGGTTTCAAATTTATGAAAATTAGTTGTAATTAAAAGTAAAATCTAAAAGAAAAATTATAAAATCATTGTAATAGAGATGAAGAAATAGTGTAACAAGTGGAAGTGGATATTCTATAGAAATAGACAGGAGCGGTGGCATTCATTTCCACGGAAACGCGTAGATTACGTGGATTTGGATTTATCTTTCCTTTCCCAATATGAAAGCAAACCTATCGCAATGGGCTCCCAAAAGATTCAACATCTCATGGTATTTCCTTAGTGGGCCCACCTCTAAACAATTCCTTTTTTTTTAAAGTTATTTTATGTATTTGGGTCCATCCAATTTGTAGTTGTGTCTCTTCAATTCCATTAATGCCAGATAACAATTTGACCTTCAAAGTACCAGATGATGTTTCCTTGTTTATTTACGATTCTTCCCTTTTTTTTTTAATAATAATACATCACTGTTTTTTCAAAAGCCAGGGTTTTTAAATCATTAAAGCAGATTTATATTCGTTTATAAAGTCAATAATAATCTATATAACTAAATAAACTTTATTCCTTCTGCTTCTCTTGTTCATTTTTTAAAAGAAATTTGTTTTTTATTAAATTAATATTTTAAGATTATATTAATTCTTTTATTTAATTTTTAAACAATCTATATATAGTCATTAAATAAATAACAGAGATAACAATGAAAGTTGCATTAAAATATTAATAAAAAATTCATATAAATAAAAATCTGTTAATCCGTTTTGTTAGAACATAAATGGTAAATTTTATTAGAGATCACGTTAAAATGAATTTAAAATATTGAAATAAGTGTGTTTTTATGTTTTTTGACAACAATGTTTTTATTCTTTTATTTTTAATTAGTATTTTTACGATATCAATTAATTTTCTTTATTTAAGTAAAATAATAATTATTGTTTTAAATTCGAATCAATCTATATAAAGTAGACAGAGAAAGAAAAGTAGAGGGAATGTTTTTTTTAACAATTTACTGCATGTGTGTTTTAACTACTGGCCAACACAAGCCGGTGTTTTAGGGAAGGGGGAAAAAGATCTTCCTCCAACTTTGTTCTGGAACCAGAATCTTGCTATCTGGTTTGAGATATTTGCAATTGTAAATTTGGAGTAAAGCAAATACACTGTTATTAAATTATATTTGATACACAGTTTTGATTTACAGTAAGCTCTTTCATTTTAAAATTATAATAATTTGTATCTAATAGGTTGAGTGTATAGATTAATTAACATAAAATATTTAATCTCCTAACTAAGGAAATTAAAAAAAGTGATTGTTGAGTTAGATATGGTGATGGAGATTGAAGCGGATTATGTGGGTAAAGAAACACAAAGAAGAGAGAGTGACAGTGACAGGGTGAAGGAGAATGCAGAATACAGAAAGGTGAATAGGGCCCCGAGGAGGGGTAGACCATTTAATTGCGGCTTTATTTCTCTAAGGAGAAATGGAGAATGGGTCCTAATTATCCCATTTCTTCACGTAACCCGAAACCAAGACCATGGCTAAGAAGGAAAGAAAGCAAGTGTGTCAGTGGGCCTTTTTTGACTATCACCAGTAATTTTCAGGAAACCCTACCCTCCTTCTCCTATTAATCTATTCTTCCTTTCTCTTGTCACTTGACACTGACTTGTCACACAAACCATCAAACTATGACTATCAATTATACATGTTCCCACGCTCTCTTCTTTTCCCATCTTTTTCTCCCCCTTTTTAACATGTCCATCGATGCATGGAATCTGGAATCAATTTTTATTCTTTTTCAAGATTGAAAAATATTAACAATGTCTTATGAACATTAATCAATCAATTTTATGTAATAATTCTCTCATTCTCTTTATTTTTTAAAAAGTAAAATACTAACAAATATTTTTTAAAATTTTAAAGATTAACACATTTAATTTATATATTCTTACAAGGCTAATTTAAAGATTTGGTTTCTTTGATAAGTTTACGCAATACTTGATGTGATAAAACATATAATTATTTGCACACGTGAATAATCAGATATTTTATTATATTAATTACTCCATAGTGTTAATGCAGAGAAGCCAGGGTCGGCCGGAAGACAAAATATCTAGAATACAAGCAATCCTTTATCTGATAAACAAACTGATAATCAAAGAATGTTCAGAGAAAGCAATATATACATTTAGATTTTATATTGAACGCGGTTAATTTTAAAGATGACACGATGTAATGCGAAATTGACTTATATTCACACGTTCAAGACGTTTCTAAAATGAAAGAAGATAATGTAGAAGTGTCATTGTATACATCTTTCTATCTAGAGTGGGAACTCTACTTGATAGTTGACAATATTGATATGCGACTGCAGATCTATGGTCAAACACACATAAATTGGCAGTGCCTACTTGATTTTGTAAGACGCTTTCTGCTCGTCCAATATAATTTGTTGAAGTCGTGTCATGATAATTCTCGAGGTAAGCAACATCGTTGGAAGTTCTACTGCATGTGTAAACTAGATTCCAAATGAATTACATAAAGATACAATTGATTTTGTTTAAAAATAAAATATGTTTTTAATTCTTATATACAGTGGCACTGTTATTATAACATGACATTATTTGCATATCATGTTATCAGTTGACATGATAACAAAATTTAAAACTATTTTAAATTTTATAAAATTGAGACAGATATTTTTTAATTTATTGATCAAAATAAGATAAATTTAGACTGTGCTTCTTGTAAGAATAAAATTATATTTCAGTTTATGCACAGTCAACACAACGTTTATTTTTCGGTTGAATCATAAGATATATTTAACCAGCAGGCAGGGAAAATAGTGAATATTTGTAGAATATTTTGAGCTCGAAATAAATATTTTTAACAATACTAGATTTTATTTGAAGATGTACTTTATGTTCTTAATATTAACGTCCACTTTTGAAAGCTAACTAATTTTGGTTTGGTAATCGTCAGTGTAAATATATGCATCTGAGAAAGTGAAAAGGAACAATCAATTAGAAAAAGGGATAATTAAGTCCTTTAATATTAACAAAATATT